AAGTGGGAGTGCATTTCGAAGAATATTACAGGGTGTGCCTTTGACCTCCTTCCCAAGTTAAAAAAAGGAAAAGAAATAATTAGCTGTTGATGAAGAGTAACTGAAGATGTGAAAATTAGTTTAGAATTATTAATCGGCTATACAGGAAAAGAGGTTTTTCATTTTTCCAGAAGAAGTAGATTGCTATAATGTCATAGTGCCAATTAGGTTTGAAAGGACCTCCCAATGAAATTTTTTTGATATGTTCCTGGGGCTAGTTGTATGAAATTGAAACAAAGAATAAAGCTATCCACTTCATGGATTTTGTTTGGATTGTATCTGCTGAAAAAGGATTTATCCAGCTGATTCTCATGCTTACGGTATATTTATCCTTACTTTAATTGGCCCCTGATTAAAATATTTCTCTATATGAACTTACTGCCTGATGACAGGTTCTGCTACATTCTCGGCTCTGGAAATTAGACAAAATTTGTATTTAAAAAATGATAAATAGAGGATATTGCATGGGCGCGCGGGGATACGGATTTTATCTTCGAGTGTTGAAAAGATCTCTCACGAGTGAGCATAGCGAACTGGTAATATGTATCAATAGAAGTGGCATGGGTATAATTATTTGCTACGCTCACTTAATGTGAGACATCTTTTCAACACGAGAAGATAAAATTCGTATCTCCAAGCGACCATGTAATATTCTGTTTATCATATAATTACATATGAAAGCAAATTATGTCGTAAAATATATTTTTTCCAACTTTTACTATATAGAGAAATCTCTAATGTGATATTTTCACTAGTGAAAATAACATGTTATTACTTCTATTGATACATATTACCAGTGCTAATACATTATTCATGCATCTGATGCAATCGTTCCCAAAGGAATGTTTGGTGAATCTGTCTACATTCCTTTGATTGTGATTGTACGATAATCATGGCATGAATTGAACACAAGGTTGGCAAGTGTCGAAAGTATTTTGTGTGCTAATATAACAGGTCCTCTATGCAAGTCATGGCATTTGTGCTGTTATCTTACACGCGTACCTGTTGCAACCTGCTTGAAACAAAGACAACCTATATTCACTATGTTTCCAACACTTAATACACGSTGCCTGTAGCTTGTGTTCTTGTTGTTTTCTTTGTTATGGACACAAGATCAAAAAACCATATTCCATAGTCTTGTTGTAAAATTACAAGATAACTTTCATCACTTATTAAGTGTGCATTTGTTGCACTGATTGCATTGATATTTTATAAATCTTGTTTTTAGATTTTTTTGATAAATTTTAATTAGAAAGCTTACAATTTCTAAATGCGATAATCCTTCCTTTTTTAGATTTTGATAATTTTTACTCTCTTTAGTAAAATTATTTGTTATATATTTTATTTATTATCTTCTGAAGGAATTCTATCAGGATTCTATTGAAACTGAAACAAGTTTCTTCAAATTCATGAAAAACAATTAATCTGTATTCTACATAAGTGCTTGTTATTTGAAACATTAACAATGAAAAAAGAACCTCTTGATATTTTTGTGGTTTTCTTTCCATAAGTAGTTTGCAATAACTTTCATTTAAGAAGATCATCTTTTGTGGCTATTAAGATAACGTTTTTGAAAAACATGCTAAAAAGTTCAATCAAGAAACAAAAACACTGATCAAGTTTCCGTTCCCTRGAGGGCAATTTWATGTCAGAAAAGATTAATACTCAATTACCGCTGTTATCTGAAACTATACTTCTTGTTTTTTTGAGACTTATATTTTCTTGGACAATTCCATATAGAACAATATAATGCTATGTGAGAACTTAACAACAATATTAAGCTTAATATCGACTTGCACATGTGGAAAATGACTGAGAGGCTATCAGTATCAAGAGAAGTCCATATGTTATTCAGGTCTGTGTACTATCGGTATTTCCCGCCATGGCGGGCGAGTAGTTGTTTCAAAACATTCGCATCCTCACAAATAAAAAGCGCTTTAATTTGGTACTTAAACAGTTAAACAATAAAAGTTTCTAATAAGTTTAAAACGGAGCTTTTTACTTTACGCTGTTGTGTTATGTTATTTACTGCCTTAGAAAATTCTTGATATAAACTTCACCCACGCGCGTGTGACATATATTCACTCTTGAGTAAGAGAAAACTAAATACTTTCCAGTAGTTAATGCAAATGTAATAATTAGAAAAGAATCAAAAAGTAAGTCGAGTGAAKTTTTCCAGACGGCATTTGAACTACATATGGAATTTTGTTTACTTTCACTCTTGTGCTAGTGAGCTTTGACAATGSTGAAAAGGAGTCAAAATGTCGCTTCGCTGTCAGTTCAAGAATTCACAAACAGAAACGAAACTCATCATATTTCTGATTGTTTTAAAATACAAGACGCCGAGGGCAGCATTTGGTAAATAAACAAACTCGAGCTAACTGTCTTGAGCTTTTGCGGTCGCGTTGATCGATACTTTTGATCTTTTGCAACTGAACCGAGTGAAAATCTACAATTCAAAACAAAAAGCACGCCGAGCGCAGACACTTTTTCAGACAGTTTTGTAGTTTACAATATTTTCATGRTTTTTGACATAGAAAACCGGTCATAAGGTGTCAAAATCACAAGTAATCCCTAAGCTCTCTTCTCGTCAACATAAATAAACATGTACGCAAAAGTTGTACAAATCACAAGCAACAAGTTGCGCGCCAAGTACTCTCTTTCGAAAAACAAACCCACAACTGCTTAGGAAATCTTTTTCACACAAAATACAGCTGTAAACTAGAAAATAATCATTCTTTGATGGATTCACTGTTTGCTACCCTGTGAAGATATGCTTACCTTTGCAAAACATCGAGCCTCACATCTCGCTCCAAAGATAGCTCGTTGTTTCGTAGAGTCGTCAAGTCCGTCCGAATCGGCGAAAATCACCGGCATTAAGAAYATAGTTAAGATGATGGCCCAGGAGTACATTTTGACCAGTAAACAAAAACACTGCACAAAAAAACCTGCCGAGGTGAGATTAAGTTTGCCTTGTAGTTCGAATTCTTCTGCACAAATTACCACGTGCGCCGGCCGACTTGAGCGGAACGGAAGGCGTTGCCATTTTGTCTTCACATTGGGAGAAAATAGTAGATGATCTGGAATTTATGTACGGACACTCTATACAATACGACTTTGTGAACAAATTGGTCTATAGATTTTAGCATAAACATATTTAAGATTCCTTTAGATTGTTTTTTTTATATATTTAGTTTACTTTCTCTAAAAAAAGTAAAGTTTAATGAAGTCCGGTACGCAAATTCTCCTATCAAATGACAACTATTCAAACAATTTTGGAATGTTCAGCAGGTAATCTGATTGGCTGTTGAATGGCTAGGTTTATTTTTTGCCAAATTGCAAATGGCCCAATGTAGAGAAAATATATGCAAATATTTTAACATTTTTTGACATTTGCAAATGAAGGCAAGTTTAAGMACGTCAAARTAACAAAGCTTTTTGATCTGGTGTWGAGATTTAATTTTATTCTTGCCGCATTTCGTAAGTTCCACTATACAAGTATTAATTTAGTGTAATTCCCGGGTGTAATTAGAAGTTGTGCAAATTGTAAGTTTGGATTGTTGCCAAAGCTTAAAACGCTTCTCCTTTTGTAAAAGATTGAATAGAGCGAAAAACTATCACTTAATTTCCATTTCACACCTCAGCCTTTGTTTTTATGCTATTTTTATTTATTTCCATTTTCAAACTCGGTAATCGCGTCTCAAAATGCATTTTTTGCCGTCTTTTTTCATAGTTAAAAAGCACTCCAAAATGCAACGTTTGAATGATTGATTTATCAATTATTATGTAAACGAAAAATCAGAACTAATCGTTGAATAAACACGACTTTGTAAAGAAAATTCCCTTAATTGTAACTGAAAAATATTGGTCTTTGATCGGGTTACAATTGCCWTCAAGAGAACGCTGTTCATCTCAAAAGCGGTCAAGTGGCGTAACGCTCGAARGGTCATGCTGAAAGGTCTCATGTCGAGTGCTACAGCTGCTTCGTTGTTCGTGATGTATTTTAGTGCATTCGCTTGCGTATTGTAAGTAAATATCATGTTCTTGGAAGCAAGACGGAAACCGGCGAAACATGCGTACGGCTGCAATACATTCACAGGGAGCGGGGGGGGGGGGGGGGGGGGGGGGGGGGTTACAACAGACAAATGGGCAAAAATGGAACACTATCCCAGACTTGGAGCTCCGAAAAAGGGACCCTATCATCCTGCGGCAAATAAAATATAGGGGAGTACCCCCACCCCCTTGAAATGCAGAGTTACTACGTTGCACGTTTGTTTCAAAATAAAAATGTACCTCCATTAAAAATGTTCTTCTTACAAAAGCGCAATTTATCATCAAACAACTTCTTAACCCATATAAAAACACCGAAACTATACTCCTGCGTTGGTTTAAACACCATGAAACAATTACATTTCACCCTAAATAATTGTATCACGGTGTAAAACTGTATCGTGTAGGTAAAATATTTTTATCAGTGGGTGCAAAATTGACTCGTGAAGGTGAAATATAATTGTTTTATTGACCATATGAAAAACGAGCAGAAGACTGGGAATGAGCACATTAAACGGTCCATACTTTTAAAYATCTGTTTTCTCCGTAATAAGGGTTATCTCAGCTAGTAAATTGGCGGAGTTTTAGTTTCAAATGTTGAATATCAGCAGAGTTACGAGCATTTGAAAAACGTGAAAACGACGCTGGCTGGTCAGGCCTCCATAAGTGATTTTCACTCAAACCTTTACAATTTCAAACACCTCTAATTTCTGGTCCTTAGATGTTAGAGCATTGAAACTTTCAGATCTTATTCATTGTAATATGTTCTTTCAATGGGTAGCAATGATACAATACAAATTTTATAAACTAAGGCGTTACGAAAGACACACCCTTTTTCATATGGTCCAAGGTGTTGAAACAAAACAATGAACAAAAATACCCTGAATGGCGTGTAAATAGCACATTAACCATTCCATTGTAGAAAAATGTAACAAAGGAACCAATACCGAAGACATTTTTTTGCTGACGGATTTGTTGGAATATCGGGAAATGGAATATCGGGAAATGGAACGGGAAATGAGTCAAATGGAAAGGGACTGATTCGCAATGTTAAGTGGGGTACTTAGGGTGTGGTAAGTTCTATTTAAGGCAACTTCAAGATGAGAGACTAATGATTGAATGATAAATTGTCAATAGTATACTAATGTTTTCAACAATTCGTACGGAATATCGATTCCCAGAGCTGCAAGTCTGATCTTTGATGCCTGATCCCAGTAGATCACTCCGACACTCGTTTATAATCGTGATTTTTTATAATAAAGTGATCCGATGTCAAACCGTTAATCTGAGCAACCATTAAATATTCATTTTTATAAAACTATCAGATGAAAAATCTCGCSATCTGATCTTATTTTGGGCTTCCTGTCTATACTTACTTTAGATGCGAGACCTGGTAACTAGTATTATTTTTTGGTGGGACTTCGATATGTGCTTGTGTATAATATTAACTAAGATGTCAAAAATATCAGCTTTACATTCATTTTTTTCAACACTTCTTCTTCTGTTAGGATCTACTAAAGGTAAGAATCGCTACTTTCTTTCAATGWCATCAATTTAATACACAATTTTGTGACAAACCTAACATTCCGTCATTATAGACGATTTCGTTCATTGTGACCCTTGAGCTGAGCTCAAAATATCTTATCTTGTGATTTGGTCAGCTATGTACAAATTACTTTATGTGTAAAAAGTGTTCTTTTCACTGTTTAAAGCAAATATGTTTAGTGTATTGCTAGAAATTGTGTTTTTTGCATGATCGAGTGTGAAACGTTGTTCGAAGTGAAGAGCTGCTGATCACAGCTATTTGACAACAATACTTAAAGCTATATCCGTCAAAATTGTTTGAACGTAGATTGTTCTCATTAATGAATCAAAATACAACAACAAATTTGTTGTAATATATAGATCGTATTGGCTCATGCTTTTAGACAACTTATAAGAAGTTTAAAGCTTGATTTAAGCTCTTTCATGCCCTTTTGATGAGAGAAATCAGTCTTTAATCTGTTAATGATATAATCATCCCTTTAAGCTTTTGAGTGCAAGTTGTAGAGTGCTCGCACTAAATGCGTGAAATATAAATACTACAAAATAGGTGATAAATTATACAAATTCCTTTGTTTCATATTGTATGATCAACACTATTTATTAGTAATTATTACTATTTGTTTCACGCTTTAAGTGCGAGCACTCTACTGAAAGCTTGAAATTATACTGATCAAATAGTGCTAAATAGTGCAAAGTAGTGTTGACCAGACAATGGGAAACAAAGGAATTAGCATAATAACTCAGCAGAGATGACACATTTGATCTTTGAAGCTAAAATACTACCGAATAATAATAACATAGGCTCATTTTTTTGTTTCCTATTGTCTGATCAACACTGTTTAGTAGTAATTATATAGTGATTATTGTTTCATTCCCATTCTAGCAATTAGCACTGTTTAATTAGGAAACTAGAGTGATCTAAGTATTACTAATTTGTAAGGGTGGACGTGAATCAAGGCAGTAGAGTGATCACACTTAAGGTTACCCCGGACACTATTTTCGTCAA